AGAGAAATACTACCTCAGAAATGATATGGCCCTGTCCTGTAAAGTTCAGGGGCAGACTTTGCCTTAATAAGACTGTGTGTTATTGTACTAAACACAAATGGCTTGTATGCCTGGAAGTCCATGACCTTGATTTTTCTTCTCTCTCCCCTGCCCCGAGAGAGGCTCCAAGTTGGGAGCAAGAATGGTCCAGTGGATATAGCACGGCCTAGGCCATAGGGGAGACAGGTTTATTTCCCTGCTCCAGCACGGACCCTCCTGCGTGACTTTAGTCAAGACATTTAGCTTATCTGTGCCCGAATTCCCTATATGTAAAATGAGGATGATAATGCTTCTCTTTCTCAGAGTAGTGTTGTGAGGATCAATACATGGAAAAAGATTGTGAAGCACTTTTAGATCTACTGATGAAAAGTGCTAATTAAGAAATAGGCATCATCATTATTAATAATAATTTTGTACCTTATTCTCATACTATCATTTAATTGCAAGTGCAGTTTTGTAAGTGCATTTGCTAACATTTAGCCATCTAAATACCCAATTTTAAGAGACAAATAGACACAGAACAACCAGTTTTTGAATGTGCTGATGACCACCATGGCTTGAGATATAGAGAAGTATTTCTTCCTTTCTATCTAGGCACAAGTACAATGTCCCATCAACACTACAGTACTAACCACACTGTGGAGTAGAAGGGATATAACAGTTTTTATTTATAGTGTGGAAGTGGCATCACAACCATTCTAGGAAATCCATCCCTAAATTTCTATAACTGGGCTGTCACATCTACATTGCAAACAAAAAGCCATGTTAGAATGAGTGCTTGAGGAGTTCTAGACAAGGTTGATTTGTAGAATAGGACTTTCAAATACATGCTGACCTAAATCTACTCCCATCGAAGTCAATGGGAGCAAAGTGAGGCCAGTGCTGAGTGTTGTTGACAGTCCCATCCATGCAAGGCCTAAATCGAAATACCCTTACCTCTGATCTCTTGGGCGTTGGAGTGGGTGCGTGCACTTGGGGAGGAACATAGTCCTGTTTCAACATAAACATTACAATTCCACAGCATTAAAAAGAAAATGCCTCCAAGGCTTTTCAGTGTTTCTGACCCTGTTAGGGGCTCTGTCTGCTCACTAAATACTTACTGCACCATTTCCCAAACTCCCGCTGACAGTGATGGTAGTGGCCTATGCACAGTGAGGGAGGAACAGACGCCTCAAAATTGGGTGATTATTTTGCAGTTTGTTCTGGTGAAATTAGGCTAAGACAAAGCAATTTCGGTTCACCTTCTGACTCGGGGCACACATCACACTGTAACCCAGATGTGGCTCTCTTCTTTAACTCCCAGTCTAATTGTACTCAGGACAGCCAAGGGCGAGGGGTGCTGTGTGGGCGGTGCAGTCGCCTCCAGGAAGGGAGTTTCTAGTGGTGTTCAGCTTCAGCAGTTGCCTTGCTTGGCTCCAAAGAAAATCCTTTTCACTCATGTACCAGAAACCTGATGGCAGTGATGTAGCTTGTGTGTGGGGAGGTGGTTGCCAAGTATGAGGAAGTGGGATCTGAAGAGAATCTAAGCACGGTGGAAGCTTGTCTGTTCAATACATTTGTTTCTAAAAGGGCTGCTTATAAAGAGGTGCTGGGAGGTTAAAATTTAAAATTTTGTTACTAATAGCACTGCATTAAAACTAGATATTAGGTCTGTTTTTCACTCTCTATGCTACTTGATTATACTTTGCACTTTGCTCCAAGAAACTGTTCAGTTTCACTTTCTGGTGCATTATCCTAATGCTGCAGTAACTGATGGCAAGTGCTGCAGGAAAGCAGTTTAAAACAAAAATGTGTTTTTGTTACTTTTTCTTACAACTGGAGGTGAATGGTCCTATTCTGTCTTACACCAACTGAGGATCTGGACCAACATTTTTATTAATAGACCCAAAGTCATGTTGTGGGGCTAAACCAGTGGTTCTCAAACTGTGGTTCATGGAATCACTTGTGGGTGGTCCATGGAGCTGCAGCTGTTCCTGTGGTGAAGCATCTTTCAGTCTTCAAGCAGTTTCCTGCTAAATATAGCACGATTCAGGATTCCGCAAATCAGTCTGGACCGGTTTACACTAAGAATTAATTTGGCCTTTTGCATTTCCAAGAGCTTTTGGGATCCAATAAACTCAAAAAACCTAAGCATCTCTCTGCACAGCTGTTTTGTTTATTTCAATGTTTCTTTGGTGAAGAGAGGAGTGCGATTCAGTTTAGACTCCCAAAATTAAAGGTCACAAACCTTTAAAGAAAGCTAACCATCTGAACGTTGGATGCAGGCTATGGGGAGTGGGGGGAGAGGGAGGAGGATGATTCGGTATTAAGTCTAAAGTCCTAGTCACAAAGAGGAAATAAACAGCACAACTCTAAAATACTGGAAATATAATGAAGCATTGTTTTTTTTCTAATGTTGTCTCCTTGATATTTACTGAATACTGTTTCAGCTAACCAAGAGCCACAGGGAAGTTGCCTGGCTTGAATTGGGATAGTTGGATGGGAGGTAACCTATGAATTGATATGGAGGCATGCACCATAATAAGAAAAAAACTTTGAGAACCACTGTCCCTAAGTTCCCACCAGTCTTTTTTTCTTTTTTAAGTGCCTTTTGGCTTGTAAGTCTTGTTTGTGAGGAGTCACAGGGCAAACTACAGTATAAATAGAGCTATATACAAGTTGTGGTGTCCTGTAATGTAATTTCACACCTGCAAGATTGTAGTATACAGAGTTGCTGTGGACTCAGGCAATAATGGAGTACAGTGTTGCCAACTCCATTGTTCAAAAATTGAATTAAGCCCCAGAATATCATGAGATTTCAATATATATTGGGCTTTTTATTTGTATTTTGTTTTTAGAGCCTTTGGCTGCACTTGGGTACAGAAAGGGGGGTAAAAAAGAAGAGAGACTTCTGGAGCCCTCAGATTACATGAGCAGAGGCAATAAGAAAAAAAATATGATATCCTGAGTGGCACAAACGCTGGCACCAGAGTGTGAATTGTTTGTGTGTGCTTGTGGAAAGGAGAAAACCAGGTAATTCTTGGAAGTTACAATATTTGCTCTGAAGCACGAGCGTCAGGTAGTTCTCAATGTGCCCCGCTAGCTTCTAAAGCGAAGGTCCAGTTTTGCCCTCCCCAGTTCTGTGGGTTAGAAATCTTCTGAAGGCCTATTGCAGCTCCATTGGGATTGGAGAGCAATGCTGTATCTGTAAATCCAGCTGTTGGAAAGCATGGTATCTTGGCATTCCTTCAATTCAGTGTTTGTTTATTGCCTTTGTTGGTTGGCCAGTGTTTTTCATTGGTTTTTGCTCGAAAGACTGACTAATATCTGGTTATGGAGCAGCTGAATATTTCATGGCCTTTGCCTGACACTGTGGAGTTGATTTTAAGTTTAAAAAAAACAAACAAAAACCTTTGGAGTTTTTTAGGGAGTAAATATTGGAACAAAACATAAAGCAATTGATAGAAACACTTTGTAAAAACCTTCCTTATGTTGTAGCACTGGTTTAGTATAACACAATACTTTCTATACAGTGTCCGCTTATTTAGCAATTTGCATAATGTGATGTAAAAATGAACAGTGGGAGGAGGTAGGCTGGTGAGAACAGCATCAAATTATGTAGGCTTGCTATAAAACTATGTTGTTCCATTGCAATTTGGGGAAGTGTGTTGCTCTCTGAGCTTCTGGAAACCTCTGCCTAGGAGCATTGTACTTTTAATTTCTCTTTAGAGAGGATGACCACGATAATGATTCAGTTCCTTAATTATATGTATTACAGTAATTGTATAAAGTGTTTTATGACTGAGCTTGCAAGTCATACCATAAAACTATTTTCTACTATTTGTCTTTTCCAAATCCAATATACGTTGTCTCCAATTTCAAAAGCATTTTCCATGGGTGATTTGAGAAGATCACAAATGCAGGGGACTGGTCAACTATATTCACTTTCAGGCTTTCTAATTGACCCTGGCCTCTGGGGGATGTGCTTAACAGTAATGGTTTTGTTTAGAAAGGGACCAAGAGAAGGCTATGTGTTCAAGGCTCTTCCTTGGGTCTTTGTTCCCAGGTCTGCTGTGTTGAGGAGCTCTGCAGGACTAGTACGGTCTATCCTTGGGAGGTGAAAGGGGAGAGAAAAATTAGGGACTTGGAAGACCTTGCAAAGGTTGAAGATTAAACCCATGGTTATTTAACCTCTGCATTTGGCACTGGGACAACTGCTACTGAAATACTGTGTCCAGTTCTGGTGTCCACAGTTGAAGGATGTTAATAAATTGGAGAGAGTTCAGAGAAGAGCCACAAGAATGATTAAAGGATTAGAAAACATACCTCATAGTTACAGACTCATGGAGCTCAATCTATTTAGCTTAGAAAAGAGAAGGTTAAGGAGTGACTTGATTAGTGTATAAATACCTACCTGGGGAACAAATATTTGCTAATGGGCTTTTCAGCTCACAAAAGGTACAACATGATCTAATGGCTGGAAGTTGAAGCTAGACAAATTGCAGACGAGAAATAAGATGTAATTTTTTTTTTAACAGTGAGGGTAATTAACCATGGAACAATTTGCCAAGTGTCCTGGTGGAGTCTTGACTATTTTAAAATCAAGATTAGATGTTTTTGTAAGAGATCTCTAGGAATTATTTGGGGGAAGTTCTGTGGGCACAGGTGGTCAGATTAGATGATCACAGTGGTCCCTTCTGGTCTTGGAATCTGTGAATCTATTATTTAACTTGTGTTAAAACAGTCAAACTTGCATCCTTCCAGAGGTGATGCCAGTGCACCTGTGTGTGTTTGGGGTAGTTTGATTCCAGTAGCCAAAAGTTGTTCTGAGTTCATTTGATGGAACAAAATAGTTTAATGGCTTGAAATTCAAACCAAAGCCATGACTGCTCTGTAAACTGTATGGTACAGTATCCTTTTAAAAAGTGTTTTGAAATATTTTAAACTGCATTTTTTTTTTTATCCTTTCAAATCCGCTGTAGGGAGCTTGGAAAAAACCTCCAGTAGGGCTGTTAACACTGATGAGAGATCTTGTATGCCAAGGTATGAGCTTTTCATGTTCTCAGCATATATTCAAATGAAATTGCCAATTATGAAAGTGTGGGGGTTGGAGAAACAAGAGGGGAAGGTTTAAGAATTACTAAATGTCTAATACAAGTGTGTTTAAAAAAAAAAAAAAAAAAACTCTGTGTGTTTCCTGCACTTACAGAAAGTTGGAGGTGTGTTTTTACTTCTATCTTCATTCACAACGTTGCGAGCCATGCACTTGTGAAGGCAGCTCTATATTCTTTAAGGGGCAATCAGCAATGTGGATACTTGCTATGCTTTTAAAAAAAAAAAAAGTCCTTTGTCACTGTCTTGCTTAAATGGGGGCACGTCTTCAGTCATGCTGCACGTTTCACCAGGATATGCAAAATCATCAAACCACACTTCTGCCTAGGCCTCCACACACCAAGCAACACACACATATACCTAATGTTACTTGTGGCTCTGTCAGCAGTTGCTGGAGGAAGGGGGAACCAACCAAATGTAAGCCGCCTTCTTCAAACATATAAAATTGTGCTCAAACAGTTATGTTTGAAAGAGCTTGTGTCACATTTCAGGTTAGTGTGAAATTCTTACACTCAACATCTGTTCAGTGGTGGGTTTGCTTATTTTTCCACCGGGCGCAGGTTAGGAATTTCCTGGAGAGTGGCTAGAGTTTTTTGAGGGAGTAGAAAAAGGGGTTGGACCAGCTGTCAGTTCCAGAAGGGCTTCCCAAAGACTGTCTTTGTATTTATATAAAGTCAGAATTATTTAAATCCTCTTAATGGCTGCAAGGAAATGCTTTTGAAAATAGAGGCTGTCTGACACGTCTTAATTTTTTTGGTCTGCTTATATAGTGCTACAGTACATGTATGTACCTAAGTCTTGTGTAAAATCTGTCTTAATGTCTGTGCACAAGCACATTAGCTGGTTTTACATAGCGCAGAAGTGTGTGAAAATGCGATTGAGCACTTTAGTGCAATATTTCCTGTCTGAAGGAACATGATGTAATGGACTGGATTTCCTGGCTCCCAGTCCATTGCTCAAGTTAGTCCTGGCTCTTCCTCTGTGGCTATGGGCTAGTTACTTCTTTGTGCCTCCGTTTTTACGCAGTATAAAATCAGTATTACTTTACTTCACAGGGATGATACGAGGATTAATTAGTGGTTGTAGAGTGTTTTGAAAATGTAAAGAGCTGTTTTAAGTGTTGCATGCTGTCATTGCTCTGGGTCACCCCTTCCTAGGATTGAGCCTTTAATAGTATGTCCCAGCCTTTGATCAGCCTTTTCCATTCAAACATGCATGTTTGTTTCTGTACTTGCAACAAGTGCATTAAATCCTTATCTTGGTAAATGACACAATTCTTAAACCTGGAATGCCACTTTGCTTGACTTGAGCAATACATAAAATTGTCCTCTTCTGATAGTACGCTGTCTTTCACAGCGCGCGAACTGTGTGAAGAGCTTGTGTAATTAAAACAGGCATTCTGAGCTACTTCTGGCATCTGCTGTCTTGCTGAAAAATGGTGTCATTTGGGATCCCAATAAATATGACAAAGTTTTCATTCTGCTTTCATGCTGAGTTAACAATTGGCCCAACATACAGGCATGATGATAATTCAATAATAATAATAATAATTCAATAGTTGGACCCTCACTGGGATCCTTTGAGAGCGTGTTTGCAGTGATACACAGAAGCACTTTCTCAGAACAAAGAATGACTTATTTTGCCCCAAAGATACACAGTGCTTGGAGAAATAGATTTAAAATAGACAAAGAGGCCTATATGCGTATTCACTTACCTAGTCAGCAGGTGTCCCGTCCTTTTACTTCAATGCGATCATATCTCATCAACCTTTTTGCTGCATTTTTGCTAAAAAGGTTTTATTGTTTTTTTGTCATGAGCTCCTGCAGTGCTCTTTGGGTACATATATGCTGGAATCAAAGCCCCGAGGCCTGGCCATGGCTGGCCTGAGTCAGCTGACTCGAGCTCAGGCTGCAGAGCTAAAAATTGCTGAGTAGATATTTGGGCTCGGGCTGGAGCCTGAAACCAAACATCTACACAGCCGTATTACAGCCCCACAGCCTGAGCCCTGCAAGCCCAAGTTAGCTGTTCCGGGCCAGCTGCGGGTATTGAATATCTGTGGACACATACCCTGTGTGTCTTCTCCCACATGGCCCTTATGCACGCCTTTCCCAACTCCTTGTGCATGACACCTAACGCTTTGCTTATTTAGGCCCTCATTTGGCAAAGCACGTAAGCACATACTAAAGTATTGGCATGAAAGCACGTGTTCAAGTGCTGTGCTGAATAGGATGGACCTAAGCATATGCTCAAGTGCTCTGTTAAACTGGGGCTTTATGTCTCTCTTAGGATAGGTCCACACTGCAGAAAAGCCTCCCACAGCATCAAGTCTCAGAGCCCAGGTCATCTGACTCAGGCTTGCGCTATAGGACCAAGAATAGCCATGGAGGTGTTCCTGCTTGGGCTGGAGCCCAGGCTATGACCCCCAGTGACGGGGTGGGTCTCCGAGCCTAGGCTTCAGTGGGAGTGGAAATGTTTTCATATGCTCCATAGCATGAACCCAGTGAGCCTAAATCAGTTGCCCAGGCTCTGAGACTTGCTGCTGTGGTGTGATTTTTGTTTCGTTTTTTGCACCCTATTAGATCCGCTTCTGCCAGGCTGTCTATAGTGCATCTAATTAACTTGTATTAAAATAACACTTGTTCCCCTTCTCCTAATTTGTCTTTAGACTGTGACTTCCACAGGGCATGGACCATCCCTTCTTGAGTGTCTGCAAAGTACCTCGCTCATTGTGGATGCTGGCATAAATAATCAGATGTTCCAGTTTCTTTTGCTTTTGAGGAAGTTGTCATTTGTGACCGTAATAGTAGAAGAAAATAAGAGGGTATTTTAATTCTGGTTCTAGAAACAGGTCCTTTTCATTGCCTAGTCTTGCCCTTGTGTGTTAAAAATCCTTGTTTCAAACAGCTACATTTTGATTGTTGGGTCAAGACATTGGGCAAGTGAAGAACTGTAACATGCTAGGGGAGATTAATCTTGCAATGCCAAATTTTCAGTGGCGCAACTGTAACGTCAACAGACCCCCGTTGTTGGCGGGCGGGATCTAACCGGGGACCTCTGGAGCTTAATGCATGAAGCTCTACTGCATGAGCTAAAAGCCAACACGCTGTTAGCAAAGGCTGTAGAGCAGATTCATTTTATCTCTCTCTCACTAAAAGTGGTCTTGGTGCCACTAGATGGGACAGAACACCGCACCCAGACGGTGTGTGGGTTACACAACCATGAGGTTTGTCCATTGCTACAGATAAAATCCAGACCTAGTGGATTTATAACTGCTATTCTTTAAAGTTGCTCTTCTGAGAGAGTCTGTAATTTAGGGTTGCTGCTTACTCCAAGAGCTGACTATCAGAAACCAGCCCTTTGCCCCTTGAGTATCTATTTTAAATAGGTAGCTTTTTCTGCATGTGTGTGGGGCAGTTCTAATTCAATTGTTTGTATCCTGGCCTATTTGACTAATATAATACCAAACATATGCTGGTCAAAATGCTGTCTACTACATATGTCTTGTAACTTAAGAGTGCTTATTGTGATTGCCAACTGGCTTTCTTGGCCCTTTTAACTGGATGTCTATCAAATAAGCGCTTATTACTCAGTTCCCCAGAGAGGACTTGTAGTTCTTCTATATTTTTCTGTTCTTTGTTTTTAAATGAAATTAGTGCTTGCGATAGGTGCCCGATGGAAAGCCCTGGGGACTGAAAACTTCTGTTTATCCACACCATAAACAGCAGCAATACAAGATTTCTTAAACTGCATAGCAAATGTGCTTCATCACTGAGCTGAAAGAAGTACTTTTCATCCAGAGGAATCGCTGCATACACCACTGAAGTGTAGTCACTGCTTAACAGCACGTAGTACCACTACCGAAAGTTAAGGGTGGAAATTAATGATACTGTGTCTAACTGAAACCTAAGGGGAATTTAGATACAATGAAATTATCCAAATGAAAAATTGGCCAGGATATTGCATAGTAATAATGCCTGCGTGAAAAGCCCCTAGCACTCTGTTGGTGCTGTATAAACAGATATTAATATCTTGCAAACGTGCCATGGATAATTAATCCATGTAATGGGCTGTATAAGTACCTAGATTAATCACAAGAGGTCAAGATCTTGATTTCCTGTTGCATCCCCAAAAAAAGTAACTGGAAAATACTGTAGAAAAGTGAAAATTCTTGTAATATCCCTATCTGTAACTTTCCCACGTGTGTTTTTGACTATAAAAAAAGAAGTGAAAGAGTTCATGGCTTAATCTAAGCCTTAACTTGATTACTGTGCTTTTGAATGGGAGGGACCAGAGTGTGGTGTTATGGCAAGGAAAGGGTAGACTGGATAAAACCAGCTGCTTTTATACTTCCCTTAAAAGCCATTCCCTTTTAAATCCTAAGAATAGATCTTACTCTCGATATTACCCACAGTTAATTAAAGAAATCCCCCTTCTTTTTTCAGTCCAAAATGATGGTTTTGAAAAAAGGAAGCGAATGTTGTTACTCAGGGAAGTTTTCAAGTGGAAGAACTTAAGTAAATAAACCATTGTCACAACTTTAGCCAAAAAAACATATTGCCAGCTAACTTCAGAGTATAAATGTTGTTCATCTGGTTTTAGATATTTAGTTGCCATACTGGGGGAATCCTGCACAGCTTGCTTTTAGTTTCACAGTTTTTACAAAGTGGAAGTCTGGGGAAGTGGCAGGTGCTCATCAGCACTAGAGAAACAGCCCCAAGTTGTGTAAGGATGGGCACCCAAAGTTAATTTTGATCTCAACCTCTCTGACTCAGGTTCCCCAGCTGTAAAATCTGGGTGGTTGGGGAGGACAGTGATACTGAACATAGGCAAGATCTGAGCTACAGGACTTAAGATGTTCACAGCCACAGGTAGGCGAGTAAGGATTTAGGTCAGTGAGTGACGTGATTATACCAATGTAGGTCTGTAGTGTAGGCCTGGCCTTAGTATTGTTTGTATTTTGCAGCTTTGGAAAATGAGGCTCAAATCAAAATGGTGGTAGGTGCAAAATCATGTAAATGAATTTGCAAAGAAAACTTGGATGCATCTTTACTCTCAAAAATGGCGTACTGATTTAAAACAAAACAACCTCTGTCGGTGTCAAGTTCAGGTCATAAGAAGAGGTACTGTGGTCCAATGGATGGGGCACTGAACTGAACGTAAGAAGATCTCCCCAATAACTTGTTGTTTAACAAGGTAGAGAGGACAATGTCAGGTATTTTGTCAGTCTCTGGGTTGTACAAACTTTAACTTGCCAGTCCAGTGAGGATGTACTGCTCTCCCTTTGAAAAGTGCTTGCATCTAACGTTGTCAGTGATTTTCTGTATTCTCAGTGTGTTCTTTGCATTGCTGCTGTGCACTGGCTTATTAATAACTTAAGATGCTCTTGTAATTTTTGTGCCATAGAACTCAACCTGCCTTAGTGTTCACTCCTCCCTAGCTCTCCACCACCACCACCAAAAAAAAGGACTTGTCTTTGTAGGATCTAGTAGTTAAGATCAGACTTTGTTGCTCTCAACTCCTGGTTTGCTTTGCTTTCCTTTCCCTTCCCTCCCTCCATGTTACCAAGTCCGCTGACACTATTTCCAAAATGCTAATATCTCCTATTTAGTTACAGTTACGCAATTATATACAGACTTATGAGGCACAGAGGGTATTAAACCTGCTTTTAACAAGGAGGGGGGAAAAAGGGAGTTCAAGTGATCTGATACCACAGCAAAGGGGGCGTAAGGATACCTAGAGTGATGAGTAGATGACCATTCTGTCTGGTATGGTAAACTGGCATTGGGACAGAGTTCCTGTCCAAAGCAGGAGGTGGAGTCCCACCTGCGGAGATGGATTTGGTTTGGCCTAGGTTTAGCAGTGTCTTGTGTGAATTAAGAGGTAGAGCCTCAGGCCAGTGAGGCCACACAACATGGAGTAAGGCTTCTACTAACTAATAGCACTTAGCACGTTCAAAGTGCCTTTCTTCCATACATCCCCAAGTGCTTTACGAAGAAGCCTCATTGTACAGAGCAGACTAAAGCGCAGAGAGGGGAAGTGACTTGCCTGAGGTGTGTCGGTGATTCCGTGGCAGAGCTGGGAGTAGAACACTGGAGTGTTGACTCCCTGTCCTGTGCACCAGTGAGCACAATGACTCATTATACACTCTCGTATTCAAGACAATCAGCTGCAACTATTTTTTCAATAAGAGCTGCTAGGATAACCCTGCAGAGAGCTAGAGTGCTTTATCCATAGGGCCCAGTGAGCAGAGTTATTTGCAAAATATTTTACTCTTTTATGTGGCTACAGATGCATCAATTGTTAAACACACTAGCCACATACTAGAACTGATGTGACAGCTGGAGATTCTGATTTGTGTCCAGCATTCATGAATTATGTATCTTTGTTTAATTAAAAGGAACTACTACCAGAGGAGTAGATGGGATTTGACCTAACAGGTCTCTTCTCTCCGATTTCTGATTTGTATTATGCATCCATTACCACATGAGCATGGAGGGATGGTTCTATGCTTAAGGCATTGGTCTGGGACTCGAGCAAACTGGGTTCAGTAACTAGCTCTGCCACAGACCTGTGTGACCTTAGGCAAGTCACATAATCTCTCTGATTCAGTATCTGCATCTATGAAATGGGGATAATACTTCCCTACTTCACAAACGCGTTGTGAAGATAAATTCATTGTTGTTTGAGCGTTACTCGGATCCCACAGTGAGAGCTAGGTTTCATTCAAAATGCTAACTTTCAAATAATCTTACTTCTGCAAAGAATTCCTGTAGGTTGTTACTGCATTGGCTCCTTAAAATAGTGACCAAGATTTTAGTTTTATTATTTTAGTTATAAAGGGCATTGATACATTAATGGCCATAAGATGTAGCCTTCTGTATAAATCAGTCTGACCTAAAAATGTTTGTGGCTCGTTCCTTTGTGGGTTTTTGGTCTCAGAAGACAGGACTTCAGAGATGATACTTGCAGTAAATAATGGAGCATAATTTTCTCCACTGACATTGTGTGGTAGAATCTTCTAGCTAACACTGACTGGGAGCCCCATTGCAGATAATCAAATGTTGCAAATTAATGAGTAAATGAACCTATAAACAAAAAACCCTATAGTATCGCATTGCTAAAATTACTTGTATTTATTTCCACAAGTGTAGTTTAATTTTCTGTGGCACTGTACTAATCTATTAGGATATATTTTGTTAAATTAATATAGCTTTATGTGAACATTCACTTCAGTGATGAGCTCACTACAGTACTCTGAGCTGTTAAAACTCTGAGCCTTAAGGCCCTGATCCAGAAAACACCTCTTCCACCGCCATTACCACCACACGCACACACATAAAGACACACCTGCATGCTTTGCTAGATAAGGTGTAAGGTTGTGAGGAAGGTAGAACCATTGTAAATTTTAGTAGCTTAAAAGCAAGAAATAAATAAAACACAGAGATTGTTAGGCAAGATCAGTTTTTTGTGTGTGTGTTACCCCCAACATTGGATCACAGGTCAAGCGTGTTATAACAAGGTAGGGTGACCAGATGTCCCGATTTTATAGGGACACTCCCGATATTTGGGGCTTTTTCCTATATAGGCTCCTATTACCCCCCCCCCCCCCCCCCCGTCCCGATTTTTCACACTTGCTATCTGGTGACCCTATAACAAGGGTTAAAATGGATTATTTAAGGAGCAGGACTGCAGTAGGCAGACATATTGCACTGTAGGAGGAAGCTAAGCCTCTGAGCAGTACACCAGGGTCTGATTGACTTCTCTGTCACAATCCTGCCACCCAGTTATCGTAGGGCAAAATGTTATAAATGTAACCTTCTAAAACAAAGGCTTATCCTAAAGTGACAATCCAGTCCATCCCTACTGTTCATAGCTAGTAAACATAATAGGCTAAATTTTCAAAAATGCAGGTGCTATAATCTGTTCACACCTTTGTACGTATTTTGGTTTGTGCATGCAGTGTCTGACCTGCACATGCAGATTAGAGTTTGAGCAAGCTGGATGTGTTCAATAGTGCATGTACAATTTTGCATGCACACTTCCAAAATCTTGCATGTTTCCATCAAGGCTGATGTTCGTGTTTTTTATAGTGAGGGACTGTTCGATCCTCTAATTGAAACACATCAGACCTGTTTCTGTAGCATCCAGCGTGCTAATTTTAGGTAATGCCTTTAGATTTGTCTCTGTCTCCTACTATGTCAGTTTTGAACTTAAAACAAATGGGGATGTACTTATGGATTCTTCCTCTCGTTCAAGAACATAAACTCCAAGTAATTTAGCTACAGGGCATCTTCGGAGTTCAGGAGAAGTTTCCCCTCAGTAGTACTTTGCATTCATAGAGCAACTTTCTTGTCAAGAATTTGTGTGTTACTACCTTCACCTTCATTTTATGGATGTATAAACTGAGGCACAGACAGGTTATAAATGACCTGCCCATGGTCACAAAGTGAATCAGTGGCAGAGCTGGGAACACAGTCCATGCCCACTGTGTACTGTTCATTCCAGTGAGCAAGTTGGTTTATTTTTATATCCTGCTACAGGGAATAAATCTTTATTTTTCCAACAAATCATAAGATTATACCTAGAGAGGCCTATAAATCATGTGGCAAAGTTAGTCTGAAATCCCTTTGAGAACTAAACCTGTCCAGTTTCATAGCATTCATATTTCTGAATCCTTACTTGGGAAGAAAGTGCTATTTTACTGGGGGAAGAATGAACAGATAATTAGCTGGTGAGGTCATTGTTTGCTTGGGCTCTGTTGATGGGGCAGCCAAGCCTGGCTTATAATGTAAACATAGTGTAAAATGTTTATCGCTGGCTTTGTCATTCTCCTTATTTGTCAGGGCATCTTGATGAGAATGAGAAATTTTCTTGTGCTGCGTAGAGAGTTGAGAGATTTCCATAAAAAGGCACAGGCGTTGCGTGGAAGAGCAGAGAGGTTTCTAACTTGGCAGCAGTAAGTTAGGCCTGACCTTTTTCAGAAAGAAAATACTGACCTCCTAAATCATTCCCTGTTGCGGGTGGGTGGGTGAAGTAAACTCTGGTGCTTATATTTCACTGGTTCAATTTTCTTGTTTAATTGCTTGTAGTTTTATGCAATTAAATGTTGGAAGAGTGAAGGAAAGGTACCATAAGCAAGTAGTAATATTTTGTGCAGCTAGATTTTTAGGGAAGAATTGTTTCCCCTTCGTGGATGGATACATATCAAATGCCCTTTTATCATTACAACAAAACATACCACCATAATAACTCCACATTTGACTCTCTTTCTTCCCAAACACCTGAAAGAAAAGACTAACTTTGTAGTATTCCCAGAAAGTTAACAGGTCTAAGTTTTGGTGTCCCAAGGGAAGAAAGGAATTCCAGAGTCAGACTCCTCACAAGTTCCCCGAAATAGGTGAATAACTGAAAGTCTGTAAAACAAATAAAGGTAAATCCCAGCCTGTATTATAATATTGAACAGAAACAATAAAAAGACTTTGTACATCTACCAGCATCCTGGTGAAAAGAACATTGTGGGTTTTTAATTTATTTTTTTGAATTTGAAGGTTGCTACACTGAGTACAGTAAATTACAGCCATCAAAGTACACATTTGCTTGGGTACTCAGATTTAAAATAAAAATCTTTTTGCTGCTGCTGAAGAGATTTTTGTATTTAGCTATACAAAATAGTCTATTTTACAAATAAACATGCTATGACAGCGGTTCTTTGGGAAAACACGTAATGTTTCTGAGGTGATGCTTGCAAACATTGCTCCTAATTCCATGCTTTCCCCTTGTTTTTCAGATTGCCTGTATTTGAACAGACCACATCATGCGTGAGTACAAGCTAGTGGTCCTGGGTTCAGGAGGCGTTGGGAAGTCTGCTTTGGTGAGTGAGTGTTCAGTATCTGATTTGAAAATTGTGCATTGGAGGGCAGGATCAAAAATTTCACCAGTGTGTCGTTGCAAATAGGATTGTTTTACACTATCAGGACACTTTTGTTACTTTCTGCATACACAACAGTTGATTGGATTACTGCTATTGAACTGCTCAAGTAGTTGTAAATGTATTACATTTAAAACGACCAAATCTTTAAAGATGGAGCACTGAGATTGTTTTCACTGAAAACAACCTACGCTACTATTTTATTTTCAGTTTGCATGTATATAAACTAGCATATAAATATATATTTTGTAAATTGCAAATGTGTAATCTAGAATAAAATGAAGAACAGAGTATTGGCTTGAATGCTAGTGAATTTGCTGATGCCTGAGGCGCAGGGTAGCTGGCATGCCTCGAACGCTGCGTGTTTCCCATTGCAGGTGGAACTAGACTGAAACCAGGGTGTCAAGAAACAGCCCACTGGTAGTGTAGAACCAGGGGTTGGCAACCTTTCAGAAGCGGTGTGCCGAGTCTTCATTTATTCACTCTGATTTAAGGTTTCGCGTGCCAGTAATACACTACTGCTACAAGCAATTTAACGTTTTTAGAAGATCTTTCTATAAGTCTATAATATATAACTGAACTATTGTTGTATGTAAAGTAAATAAGGTTTTTAAAATGTTTAAGAAGCTTCATTTAAAATTAAATTAAAATGCAGAGCCCCCGGATCGGTGGCCAGGACCCGGGCAGTGTGAGTGCCACTGAAAATCAGCTCGCGTGCCGCCTTTGGCATGCGTGCCATAGGTTGCCTACCCCTGGTGTAGAAGGATAACTGTGGACTGATGGTGCTGCTCACTCCTAAATATGAGTGTTGCTTCTCAGTGGTTTGTGTTGCAGTGCTGACAGCAAAGCCAATGCACTGTAATGGAGACTTCAGTCATTTGTTGTAGCTAAGCATGTGGTCAGCTATGTATCACACATCTAAATCAACCAGCTCACTACTGAAAGGAGTAGGCAGGGAGGAACTAGTGGGAACTTATTAAAACAAGCAAATTCACCCTGCCACTTAGGGATGGGAGTAGCTGTCCAATTGTTTTTAATGTAGGAAACAATAAGGTGTTAAGGATAGTAAGATTGTTTTCTCTTGCATCCTTTCACTTACACGTGGAGATGAAAAACTGATGTACTTGGTAAGTTACTTGCAGAATGCAAAGGGCGAGTGAGAGAAGACATGTGGTGTAAAGCATATCCGGTTGTTAAACAATACATTTGGTTTGATGCACTATTTAATTGATTTCTCCATAATAACCTGTGGTATCATGCAGGTGTAAAACTTTATTCTTAAAAATGTGTTTGTATAAAACCCTATTCTTCCATGGTAACTTCAGCAATTAATAATGAAGCTGTTCCCCTCCCCCACCCCCATCGTCCCCTAGGATATGTCTGTTTTTCCCATCAGGAATATAATATTTGTGAGTTAGGAGTCCTGTGATGAGACTCTGTCTAACCTGCTGTACACACCACTAAAATGTCAGACAAATGTCAAACTTTAAAGAAGTTTCCTGAACACTTGTGATGTAAAATCTAAATCAGTTCAGTCTCGCAGCTTTTTTTTAATTGAAAAACAAACTTTTGTTTTTCCAAATATTTAACCTTTAGGTAAAAGTTAGATTTTTTTTTCAGACTCATTAATTCTCATATATTTTCTGTGGACGAATAAACTTGTTTTTTGTTTGTTATAAGTAATATGTATGATGGCCTGATTCTCATCTCACCTACAACACTGTAAATTGGGGGTGACTCCATTAATCATCAGCTTTGTACCAGGGATACAACTGGAGTGAATGAATAATAATATCCAGTGTATTTAATGTGAGTGTGCATGTCCAGTGATCAATAGATATTTGGTAAGCTAAATGTCATTATTGACATTATATAACCATACATTGCATTGCATATGGAAATATTGATCCAACACGCTGATAATGAGGAACAAAAAATTAACAAGAAACAAGTCAAGATCTGATGGCATTGAGAGGTAACAAAATAGCAAATTATTTACAAACAGCCATCAGAAGAGAGGTTCTGAGATGGGTTTTAAAATAATACAGTGGAAGAGATTAAAACAGAATAGAACTATGGTATTTTGCTGCCAATAGTAATCTTGAAATTTCTCTCTCCACCCCTCTCCCACCTCCCAGTGATCTAAACTAAAATGACGTATAAAGAGGCTGGTATTGGTATTCAGTTCTGTATTTGAATGACGGTTTAGAATACAATGTTCTAGCACCTTTGTGGTGAAGACTAAGTTACAAACATGGGGAAACTATTAACAGTATACAAATGAGATACAGTTGTTTTTTTGAGTCATGACTGGATCACAGTTTCCAGTGTTAGCCTCTTAACCAAAAACAAAGTCTTTGTACCCTTCTTGATAGTAACCATTAAGAAGTCTCCGGATATAATCACCACAATCTAAAGGAGTTCTGCCTGTTGTGGTAGGGCTCCTGTTGCCTTCTATAACACCATGGCTGATTGCATTACCAATGATCTCATTTAAAGTGGGATTTGTGGGATCTTCTATCTGAAGAGACTTTTGAGACAACAAACATACAATGTGATAGGGAAATGGTAGAGAAGAAGAGACTTTAAGTCTTTCTAGACCAGTGGTTTTCAACCTTTTAAAAATTTCGAATGGAGGTGCATACTGTACCTCTTTGGAAATGTTAGACATAGTCTGCGGACCCACAGAGGTCCAGGGACCACAGATTGAAAACCACTGTTCTAGACTACAGAATGAGTTTAGCTTTTGAGTGAGGGCGCATGCCTCTCATCTGCAGGAAATCTTCTCAAGCATGAAAGCTAGAAAATTGTTTTCTTGCTAGTTTAAAAGAAACCAGTGGGTGTTTTGTACTCTCTAGAATACAGTGATGCCTTTTGCAGATATCTGGCTGTGTGCGACTCTTTCAAAATCTGAAACCATGTATTTAGGAGCAAAAGCATGTTTGAACCCTGGTGTGTGTGTGTGTGTGTGTGAGAGAGAGAGAGAGAGAGATGAGGCACAGAGGTTGCTACTACCTATATGTACGTAGTAAGTCAGAAACAGATTAGCATTAGAATTTAGTAGTTCCTGGTTCACAGACCCAAGTTTATCTAGTAGATTATGTAGCAGTATCTGATTAAAACAAAAAATCTGCCACTCTGAAAGTAGAGCAGTTCCGAATTTCTTAAATACACCTCTACCTCGATATAACGCTGCCCTCGGGAGCCAAAAAATCTTACCGTGTTTATAGGTGAAACCGCGTTATATTGAACTTGCTTTGATCCACCGGAGTGCGCAGGCCCCCCCCCTCCCCCGAGCACTGCTTTACCGCGTTATATCCGAATTTGTGTTATATCAGGTCGCGTTATATCGAGGTAGGGGTGTAGTGACCTGCGGAGATCTGGCTGGTCGCACTTGGTGCTACATTCTCCTTATTTCCTGCTGTTAAATCACATTAAAAGAAGCTAAAAACCTCACTCTTCTATGTAAGCAAATGCTGTGGTTGTTACAGGGATGCTCTGCAATCACAAATGGGAGAGGAAATATCAAAAGCCACATGCCTTTCTATTAAGATATGCTCCATACTATGAAAGACATTTGCGAAGCCCTGGAATAGGTGAAAGTGAATTTCATCTCTCTCACAGGGCAAAAGTAGAAAACCGTAGCGTGGTTGGTGGAAAAGCATAAGTTGCCATCCAAAAGCTCTAAAAGAACAGCTAAAATATAGGGTCCTTTACAAATTTAAATACTGGATATCCAGACACCAGCCATGTCAAAAGCTTCCCATCCTAGTTTCACTCTGAGTGCGTGCATAGGAGAGGAAAGAACTTCAGTTTTGAAACGAGTGGTATCTCCTTTCTTCTGTTTTAATATATGTTGTGGTTGTTGAATGTATGGTGCACTGTTCTAGTTGGTTTTTATTCGTTTTTGATTTTTATAAAAACAATTACAATTACTAAAAGTTGAATGATTTACAGATAGTTTCTAAATCTGTTGTTCTGAAATCTTGCTGGATCTCTTTGTCAGTATTGACATTTTATTTATTTGTATTATCTTCGAACCGTGGAGTCCTAATCATGGACCTGGACCCCACTGTGCTAGGTGCTGCACAAACACAGAGCACAAAAACCCTGTCCCTGCCCTAAAGAGCTTACAGTCTAAGTTACTGCATTTTAATAAGACTGAGATACTCTAAATGAAACTTAGACTTCAAATACAGAGGCTTTCACAGATCTACTTTACAGTGTTGCCACCTTTCCGGATTTTATTGCGAGTCTCACAGTATTTGGTGGTTTTCCTGAAGGCCCAGTTCCTTTGTGAGATTTTTGTGAGATACTCAGCTGTCACTTTAAAAAATAAGTTTCTAGCCCTCATGGTTGCTGAGAAATTCTTGAAAATATGACACTGCACCTAGAAGATTCCAAAACTAAAAAAAAAAAAAAACCAATAAACCCACATTTTATTATATTTAAAAATTCTTTTTTTAAGTCCTGGCTCGTGACTTTGAATGCTTGGGTTGGCAATACTGATGTGATGCAGAATTTATACTATTCTGGTTTTGAAGAGCTACTACTTGAAGGTCAGTAGGCCATATCTGAGTTTATTCTTGAACTGTTTTTTCTCGTTTTTTTTTCAGACTGTACAATTTGTTCAGGGAATTTTTGTTGAAAAATATGACCCCACAATAGAAGATTCATACAGAAAGGTACAGTATAAAATGATGCTATTTTCTATCAGCCATTTTGGGGCCCGATCCTTCTTTTTTTGCTTTTAAATTCAGGCAAACCTTCTCCATGTCCTGGGATTTTTGTCTGAGTAAGAGGTGTGAGTTTGGATCTGTGTTAGTGTAGCGATGCTGGCTTGTTAGCCTCCATGTGGCTGGAACCCTGTGCCTGTATAGAGCACTTGATCCAGGCAGCTGGTTCCCTGTGAGTCTATAGAGCACTTTGCAGGATCAGGGCCTTAGGGTAGGTGCGATAAAAGACCTGTGACATGGCTGCGACTGGCCCAGGTCAGCTGACTGTGGCTCAGGTTGCTGGGCTCTACAATTGCAGTGTAGACGTTCGGGCTTGGACTGGAGCCTGGGCTTTGAGACCCCGCGAAAGGGGAAGGTGCCCGGGCTCCAGTCCAAGTCTGAACGTCCAGACTGCAATTTTTAGCCCCGCAGTCTGGGCTCTAAAACTTGGTGCCACCGGATTTTTTATCACAGTGTAGCCATACCCTTAATGTCATGCAGACTTAGTTCATGGTATGCTGACATAACATTGATTGCCATTTAAAAATAAATGAATCCGAATTTATCCTGTCATGGCGTTTGCAACATTTCCTACTGTAAGTAAAGGAAATAACCCAAATATCACAGTTTTAAGTACTGAAGTATAGTCATTGTTTTTAAAAAAACAGACCACTTTACTGTTTAGTTGAATGAGTGTTGCTTACTTTGAAGGCATATGACATTTTTCACTACCTTTTTGGAAATGAGCTTGCAGTTGCAAAGCAGAAGCTCTTGTTCAAATCCTTGACACAGAGGCTTGATGTAATTTTATCCCTAGAACTGCATTCTCCACTCAGATTGATGTAAAGATAAGAATAATTTAGAGATAAGAATAATTGTTGTCACAATTAAAGGCTCCAAACCAGAAAACGAAAGGAAGTGGTGCTTTTTGTGCATGACAATTAAGTGAAAAAATTGTTAAAACCTTCGTAGTGAAGAGTTGCATTTTCTGGAATTACCCTCTTTAATCTGAAATGATTTTTAGTAAGTGGAACGCTTGGAAAATTTAACAAGTTTGAGGTTTTTTTTTTTTTTTTTTTTTTTTTGTGGGTTTGAGGTGGAATGAAGGAAAACATAAGTTAAAGGGCTCTTCGGTTGTAATTCTGTATGTCTCACACTAGCACACTTTTGAGCATATGCCATTTTTTTTCTTAATGTTGCTTGTTTCTTCCTTTTTTTCCAGCAAGTGGAAGTAGACTGCCAACAGTGTATGCTTGAAATCCTCGATACAGCAGGGACAGTAAGAAAAATCTAAAATATAGAATTTTTAATGTTAAAAATGAAGTTGGATTTTAAAAGGATTTGTCAGTGAAGTAGCCCTGTCCTATCAAAAAGAAAATGTTTGATCGACTGCTGCTGCACTAAACTGCAGTGTTTTGTTAAGTAACCCAAAAGCCAATGTGGTGAATCTGTTACCTGAACACCGCCAAACCCAGGAAAATTGCATACAATCACTGTGCTCTCGAATGAATTCACGTAGGAAAATGATAAAAGACATAAACACCCTATCACCTGTGGGGAATGCTTTTCACAATACGATCCCTCTATATCTGACCTATCAGTCCTCATCCTCAAAGAAAACCTGCGCAACAATTTCAAAAGATGAGCCTGGGAGCTTAAATTTGTAACTTTGCTAGATACTAAAAATCATGGTCTTAATAAAGACACTGGATTTATGGTTTATTACAACAAGCTGTAACCCACTACCCCTCCTTTTTTGTCCTATGATTATAGGGGTTGAATGGTCTCTTACAATACGTGCTAACTACTTTTACACTTCTGAAGAAGTGAGGTTTTTTACCCACGAAAGCTTATGCCCAAATAAATCTGTTAGTCTTTAAAGTGCCACCGGACTCCTTGTTTTTTTTTTTGTGGATACAGACTAACACAGTTACCCCCTGATACTTTTACACTAAACTACCTGTTTGATCTTGTATGTAGCTGTGATACTCTTAGTACCTTTCCCAGACTGGAAGAAGAGCTCTGTGTAGCTTGAAAGGTTGTTTCAAGTTGGTCCAATTAAAGATATTACCTCACCCACCTTGTCTCTTTAGGGATTGTAGATGTTACCCAGCTGAATTTCCCTCACAGATGGGATATGAATGGATTAGTGTTCCTCCAAATTCTAAATACCTTATCAACTCTGCTTGGGAATAAATTGATATCTTTATAACACGATGCTAGAATTTGGGGATGATCATTTGTAATATATTATATTGTGGTGGTGCCCAGAGTTCACAATGTGCTGAGCATTGTACAAACACACACACAAGATATGGTCTCTACCCCAAAGAGCTTGCAGTCAGAGACATGAGGGATGGTAACAAGCTATAGGAGGACAAAGGTGGGTGGGGGATGACCATCATAAAACCACACCATTCCATAAGCTAACAATGGGCACGACTTGAAGGTCCTGAATCATTGACCCTGTGATTTTTTTTTTTTTAATTCCCCCCCGCCCCGCCCCCCAACAAAGTTCCCTGTCAAGCCACTGCACTTGGGCCTGTTTCCTCCTTTCTTAGAGAACCCTCCTCCAACAAATAGGACCTTACACGTCATGGCCCTTCCTCAGATAGTGCTGGAAGGGACATTCTTCTCCTGTGGGAATCCCTTCCTGCTCAGGTCAACTGCCCCTCATGCTGCTTCTCTGTGCTGTCCAGCTGTTCCATGTTGGGGGAAGCCCCTGTCATCTCCCTCCTCCTAGCATCTACTGAGAGGCGAGCTTCCTGAAAGCTCACCAAGCCTCTTTATCATCCTGTGGGAGGGTGTCACTAAACAAACAGACTTTAATGGTTGAGAACACTATGGGAGGAGGATCTGCTTCTTAAGCGTTTGAAAACACAATTGCTGTTTGTTTTGGGAAGCCCTTGGACCATGATGTTGAAAGTAGCCCAGGCAGATAGAAATCAAAGTATAGTTAAAATTCCGAGTGAAGGTTCTTTCACTGATGTGTACAAAATATAGCTTTGGGTCTGACCCTGGATTTCGCAGCCCATTCTTGTATAGCCTTATGTTTCATCCCATTGAGCCGTCAAGCCATTTACATGCAGCAAATGACTGCTGTACAATTACATGGGCTTAGATGTCAGCTCACTCTTTCTTCTAAACGTTGATGTTCACCAAAAACCTACAGGTGCGTGGCACCTAGGCAGTCTCTGCACAGTACTAGAGCAGGGACATATTTGCAGATTGTCACTTCTCTGGCAGTGAAATATTTGAAATACCACTGCAAGTGTGTTAACCAAATATTAACAGTATGCTTTACATGTACGTTAGTCCGTATTTATCACTGCAAGATATTTATCAGATTTAATTCTGTAGCATCCTCTGCCTTTTTTTCCTGCTATTTTTGTCTGTTCTTCTAACAGGTTTTTTTCTTCCTCCTGAGGGTGGTGCGAGGAAGAAGGGAAGGAATTCAGTTCATGTTTTTATTAAATTCATATGCTTCATTGGATTTCTGTAAGGGGTAAAAATGTAAATGTAATGTTAGCTACTACATTCTTATCTCTATTAGAATAAAAGGATTCCTTTTGAACTGTTTGTTATATGTATTAAATAGCTAATTAATTACCTTTTAAAATATTTGATTACAGGAGCAATTTACAGCAATGAGGGATCTCTATATGAAGAACGGTCAAGGGTTTGCACTAGTATATTCTATTACAGCACAGTCCACATTTAATGACTTACAGGACCTGAGGGAACAGATTTTACGGGTTAAGGACACTGAAGATGTAAGTAAAGGACTTTTTGCTTTGTGAGCCATTGAAATCCTTACATAAGTAAACAAGCAGGTATCTGTTTTTTTGAGCAAGTTGATGGATGACTGAAGACTACTGTTGCCTAGGAATGTTTTTTACTGTATAATAAGCTTGTGCTAGATGTTTTAGAAAAACTTATATATTTTTTTTACATTAACTTCATTGAGCAGATTTTCAAGAGCTCAGCTTCCAAAATTAGGGGTAGATTTTTTTTTTTTTTTTTTTTCAAAAGAGCTCTTCTCCCATTGGGAACACAAACAACTTGGCCAGATTTTCAGACGTGTTGAGAACACTTGGCCCTGGTGAGAACAATGGGAAATGCTGGTTGCTCAACTTTTTTGGAAATCTGTCCTTAGTTGATTTTTAACTTTGATATTCTTTCCCAGTATAGGCATTTTCTTTTTTCTAGGTGGGTTATATCGGAATATTACTGTTTTAAAAAATTAAACAAATTTTACTGTACTTTAGTTTCTTTTCCTCTAACTTTCCCGCAGAGTGAGGAGGAAGCTTACATGTGAAGAATCATCCTGGATGTGTTGTACCTGAGCCATAAGTAGAAAAGACATTCACCAAAAAAATTAATCAAATTATTGCATTGGGTCACAACCTTAGTAATGGACAAAATTGGTTAAAGTGTGTTGCCAAGCTTTCTTTTAACTCTATGTACGTTTTTGTATGTCCTAAAGATGAGGCAACTAGCACTGAAATAAGAGCTTGAGTATGTGGGAGGGAAGAAGTCGTCTTGTTAGCCAAGCTTCTTACCTTTATTCCAGTTGTATGGATAATAATGGCAGCTTTGAGCAGTCTGCTTAGTTACATAGCCTTAGGACACATTGCATGAGGCAGAGATGTGTTTTGTATGACCTGTTACTCGAGTGAATACTGTTCTGTTCCCTCCCACTCCTCCTGCTCTACCCCACTCCCCATGAGTTTCTGTGAGACATGACCAAGATCAAAGTCTCGCTTATTTCAGTGTGTGTTGGATGGTTTTTGTTTAGCTATAACAGTATAGAATACAGATAAACAGCTTGTCCCAAAGAGCTTACAATCACATTTGGGCCAGTGACTAGTTTTTAAAAAACTTCATTTTGAAAACATGTTCAATTTCCTGCCTGAATAAACTGGCTCAAAGTCAGTTTTCTTTCTACAAGATAATTCTCTCAGTCCTCATTGGAGATTGGGGGAGAAATAGCTCAGTGGTTTGAGCATTGGCCTGCTAAACCCAGGGTTGTGAGTTGAGTCCTTGCAGGGGCCACTTAGGGATCTGGGGCAAAAATCAGTACTTGGTCCTGCTAGTGAAGGCAGGGGGCTGGACTGGATGACCTTTCAGGGTCCCTTCCAGTTCTATGAGCTAGGTAGAGTAAGAAGCAATGGAAACTGAACAGAAGCAACCCATATATATTTGCATTAGTATCAACTGAGTGATTTTAGGGTGATTGAAGATTGTCATGCATCTATTGTAACCTTCTAAGCGATAATGTTATGTAGTAGCTGCTCTGGGGAATAAAAATTCATTTTGCACTTGCTGATCAGGAAGTCTTGATTCTAGACGCTGAGTAGTAGCTTGGTTTCTGTTTACGTAAGCAAACTGCATTGCAGAATTCAAATCCGAACGGTTAATATTTGTAAGTCTCTAACAAGCTGCCTGTACCAACCACAGTTGTGCTTTCTTTGTGATCTTTACCTTGTAGAAATGAATGTCCAAGGCATGTGATCTGCATGCATCTAGGATGGAGGAGTAACTCAGTTTCCATGGCCTTTTGGTCTGTGGTCTCTGCTGAGACTGCCAAGAAGGATTTCATCTGTGGTAGTGTTTCTGATGTGTATACCTGCCCACCAAAAATTCATTTTCACATTGGCCACCAAACAGCTGGCAAATGGGTAACTACTTTAAATCACTACTGACCAGTAGGTAAACCAGAGTTTGAAAGGCTTTGTATCCCATTATCAGTTCTCTGGAGAATCCTATGTTTCTATCTGCGTTGTGAAGGAGAGGACTTTAGTCTTTGAGGTCCTCTGGGCAGCAACTTTCATAAATCCTTCTTAAGCCTAGGGGAGGTTGGGTTGCTTCTGTTCGGTTTCCATTGCTTCTTACTCTACAATGAACAAAAAAACATTGCTGTATTTCAAAACCTGTCAATGTTGGTTTTGAGCATTAAGGCCACCAACTTGTAATTATTGCGGGAACAGCATATTATTTAAACTTGACTGGCAGTTTGTCAATAGCTACTTTTTCAATTATATATTTATCCTGCTGGCTCATCTTTAAAGCTTGTTGCTAAGATTGAATAGAGCAGGATGTCTTCGGCTGTTTCCTGAACGCAGCACTGTTTTTAGTTACAGTGGTTTTAGGTAGCAAACTTGAAAATGTGTATGGTAGCCCTGGGAGGAGGGACTCAGGAGTAAAACTTTCATACTGGTCTAAGTCCATATTTAGGCACCTGCATATGTATGTGGCCTGACTTCAGAGATGCTGAGAGCCTGCAGCTCCCATTGATTCCAGTGGGATATGTGGGTGCTCATCACTTATGAAAATCTGGCAACTTGTATTTAGATGGTTGGGTTTATGATCCTAACTTTAGGCACCCAGATGTGGGAATTTTGGCCTCAGGGAGAGCATGCATATTCAGAGTCTGAATTACAAGTGTGTGTGTCAAGGGTCTACTTTTATATATAGCTCTTAAAACTCCTGAGACTTCTAAACTCAGGACAGTTTTCTTTGTCCCTCTCACTATTCTATTACAAGAATCCTTGTTTCCAAAAATCTTATAGTCCCAAGAGGGTCTGACAGCTGTGGAATAAATAATTTTATTTTTAGTTTTTGAAAAATTCTCAGCTAATGATATAAATTAATTATTGGTTGGTTAATTTTAGAACACTTACAAAAAAGTAAAGACTGATTTTAAAAAAGAACATACACTGAAATCTTTAGATGGCAAAGTACTGATCAGCCTGTACATCATAGGAGGAGATTATATGCAGTAATGCTATGCCTCTGGACCCTGTAGATGGCGCTGTTCCTGTCATTAGTGGCCTCAGTTCTCTTGCATGGGGCTTTCTGTGTTTCATGATGGATTTTTTTCACCTGAAGTTTATATTTCCAAAACTTCTGATGGACTTGAAGTTGCAGATGTTTTACAGGACAGTGTTGGGGTGAATGGTACGGTTTTGTGGCCTGCATCATTTTATGTTTAGATGACAGGAAGCTGAAATTAAAGTCTGACTAATACAGTTGTTAGTAATGTTTTTCAAGGATTTACCCTGAGGGGCGTGAAAAAGATTTTAATCACTGACAACAAAAGTAACTGCTTTCTTTGAAGTTGGATTACTTCAGTCATTTAGATGGTCCTTGTAGCTGAGCCGGGATGCTAGAGGTAGCTTCTCATTCACATGTTGTTACTTTATCTTCTTACACTCATCCAGTTAAGAGGAGTGTTGAGGATCAGTAAACAGAGCTGGAGTTGCTGCAGATATTTAGGCCTGATCATAAGTAAGCCATAAGCATTGTATTTAAATAGCCATTCATGGAAAAAGCTGTTTGAACAATGCAGTAGGTTGCTCTGATACTGTGGTGCTAAATGTGTTTTGAAACTGAGGTAGTCTCTTAACTTTTGTATTTACTTTTAAATCTTCATTGTTCCTTAACCTTGGCTACCTTGCTGTCTAATGATTTTGATCCACTCTCTGGTTTAACTTGGTAAACTTTTTATTTAAGTAAAACTAATCTTCATTATGTGGGGATTATGCTTGCTGGTAGCATGATTCTTTTATTAGCATTTAGGTCAATGCACCGAGCTGTTCAAACAGCTACACTGCTTGCCCTGGCATTTGTACCATAGGTTGGCCAAATTAATCAAACAATGGACACTGTTACTTTAATTCTGCTTCATGATAATTTTAAAACTTATTTACTCATTTTAATTGGTTGGATGTTAGTTCATGGATTCAAACTTCCAACAAGATTTTTTCCTCTTCAAGCCTTGTACTCATGAGAAAAAGAAGACAGGTCACCCTGTGTTTAGTGCTAGCAGAACGAGTCTCATAAAATTTCTGCATTTTAACTGTTCAATGTTTTATGTGCAAGAAAAATATAAATTGCTGTTTTGTGTTTGAATTTCAAAATGATCAAAACCAAACTTGATCAAATTCAGTTTATTGCAATAAGTCTAGAAATCTCATTGGTATGGAGCAGTTAGTTAACTCTTGCCATTTAAAACAACCACGTGTCTCGTATCTCCCCATATCTAGACAAATGTATACCTCATTTATGTGTTCCATTTTTTCTGCTGTACCGCTTTTTAACATTCTTTAGTTAGTTTTGAAAGTGTTCAAATATTCACATTTGTATATTAGTATCCACGTCTAGGAAAATAGATCATTTCTTTTGGTCTCATACAAAATGAAAGAGATTCTAATTAAGCACATGTAATTGTGAACATTTATATTTGGCGTAGGGTAGAATGGTTTGATCTGAAACAGAGGTTTTGTTTTGCCTGCAGTTTCTGTTTCATGACTTCAGGTTTTGCTGTAGTAAGCAAAACGTAGTTCCCAAAAATAAAATGTTGTCTGATCTCTTTTGAAACCATTTTGTTTTGAGGTTTAAATGAGTCTTAAATCTAGTTGACTAAGACTCTGCTTAAGAACAATTCTGTGCAAAATTAAGTATAAATAATAAAAGTCACTTGAAATTTTACAGTACTTATGTACATTATTGAAGGAAATGTATAGCAACTTATTTTCCATCTGGGAAGTACAGGTTTGTGGCTCAGTTTTGTGTGCAGAAAGGGAATGGCATGCACACCCATTATCAGCGGGTCTGTAATTTTGTCTCTTACAGTGCTATGGGGAAACAGTGGTGTATGCATTGTGCGTTTAAATAAAATGCAGCAGTCGAATGGAGTGCAGATCTTGCTGTTACCTGTGTGCTTAAAAATGCTCAAGAAACTGGAGATTTCTTACCTTAACTCCATTTCAGTATTTCAGGAACTGGGATTTATATGAAATGCAAAATTTAAAAGCAGGATTGAAAGAATGGTATGCAGCCCAGGACTTTCAGTACTATATTGTAGTTGCTTAAAGAGTTCATTTACAGGAGATGTAAAACAGATTAGACATTGTAGTGTTGTGAGAGCTCTTTTCTTTAACATTCTTTTACGCTTTTTAATTATGAAGTCCTACCAACTCCTTTGGCTTTCCTCCCTGCCATTTTAAATGTGTTCTTCCCTGGTGGTGTGCAGGGATATCCATCAGTAGACCACAAGGCTGAGGGGAAACAGGAAAAGTCTTCTGAAATTCATGTTGGTACCACCTCAAAGGTATCTTACTGCTAAAGCCTGCTGGAAAAAATGTTCCCATTTTTTGACTGAGCTAATTGAGTGTTTTTAAGGGTTATCAGATTGTCACATGGTATTGGATTGTATCATTTGATTGTTTGCCATGGAAGCTTTGGGGAGTATATTCTTAGAAGGGGAAATGTTTAATTTATTGAATGTTGACAACATGCTTGGCTCTGTACAGTATATGAGATAAATACAGTCCCTGCCCTGAAGAACTTACAGTAGAAAAGAATTTTACCGGCTCTCTCCCAATGTGCAAGAAATCCCTTCATTTCCATCCATCGTTTGCTTTCATGTTTCTTGAAAAACTGTCCCAGCTCTTTGATTGTGTGTAAAGACTACTCCATTCTGTTCCGCCTAATGCAAATAAATCAGTAACAAGTGTTTGTTGTAGCCAAGGTCACTTTCCAAAGGCACTCCAGTTCCTGTAACACTCCCCAGGAAATGTAGCAGGGACCATGGACTCCCTTAGGCACTTCTTCCCTCCTGAGGGAATGGGCAGGTGGCTCCACAGAGAGCCAGCAATTGGTAGCTCCATCAGGCTGTTTAACAGATGGTTTGCCATCATTTTATACCATACATACAGCTGTTTCCACTCATTGAACCTCCTGACCAGAGCTTAATGACAGTGGGCCTAGGATACAATGGTGCGGGTTACTCATATGACTAACGCAGTAAGCAATTTTTGATGTTAAAACAAGATTAGTGTAATTAACTGAAGAAATGGAATTTCATCCAGTCCTACTAAACAAGACTCTTATGAGTCTATTACAAAACAATTAGTTGCAGTTTTTGCTTAATTACTTTATTTTTTTATATATATAAAAACATATATATATGAACATGAAATTGTCCAGTATGTTTATTATTGCAGAAGTCTTTCCATTTTGTGTGCATAGAACTGTTAATGCAGCATGGTCCTGCACTCCTGATGGGAAAAGACAGCACATGTGGAAGGCCATGGTGCATGCATCTAGTCCCTTTCGTTCCAAATCAAGGGAGTGCTTTTCAAAGGTGGCCCCATTTATTTTCTATGGCTTGACAACAGACTGCCGGGTCACTAGGGCTGGCAGCATTCAGCATGTATCCAGGAAATATGCTGTATACCCTGTTGTCTAACATAAGTTAAGATAGCATGCAGTTTAACCCCTTGTCGCTTGAAAGCGTCTTAACAATAAATTATGTTTTTGACTAGTGTGATGTTAGTGGATGACCTCAAAATAAACCTTGTATAATGTAACCTCCTAAACAGCAGTATTTCCATTTGTTAGATGGTGTGATTGTCAGTGAAACTTGGTCATGGTGGCTGCATGCCACAATTTTCCTTCAGCCCCTTTCCAGCAGGCACCTGAAATGTAATCTAGTCTGTGAGTTCAATGTAGCTCTAACTCTCTGGATTATATACTCCAGCCTATATCATTTTTCTTGTGCTTATGAAATGTAGCCCTGTCAAACATAGACAATGCTTTTTGAAGAAATAACCTTTGTCACTGATGGCTTTTCTGGGCCAGTCCAGGTGTGTTTGTTGGAACAGTGTTTGCTCATATGCTTCTCATTGTTCTCTCCACACAGGTTCCAATGATTCTGGTTGGCAATAAATGTGACCTGGAAGATGAACGCGTAGTTGGCAAAGAACAGGGTCAGAACTTAGCAAGACAGTGGTGTAACTGTGCCTTTCTAGAATCGTCTGCAAAGTCTAAAATCAATGTTAATGAGGTAACTACTAGCTGTTCCATTGCTAGGCAATAATGGATCACTTTTGTACTTCGTATGTTCTAACTGCACCACCCCAGTATAAATATCACTAATGCAGTGTGCAGGCCATTGTCCACGTCTTGATCGTCTAGGTTTAGGATGCTTTTGGAATCTCGATCTTGAGTACTGTAGCTGTATTCCATTCACTGTAATGAAATACCCTTCAGTCTCTCCAAAGTACCCAAAAGTGAGATTTGTCTCGGTGTAAATGGCTCCCACACAGCACTCCAGCCAGAAGTGGAGGGTATAAGTGGAGGGATTTCACCCAAAATGAGCTTTATTGAAGTGGGTATGTAACTTCTTAAGACGCCATCTTCTGCATGCTGGCGTTTGTGTATTTCCCAGCATATGTCTAGCTGTGTTGTCTGCTCTGCTCAAAATTCATTTGCTTTACACGTTTTGATCAGCTGTATTGTAGTACCTTGGTGCCCTACCAAACAGACACCTTTCATCTCTCTAAAAGGAAGAGTTCTTTGCCCTTCTCTCTTAAGCCGCTATTTTACTGTGGCCAAGTCCCAGCACAAGAGTGTTGTCAGGGCAGTTTGTGACAGGTTTAACTGGAAAACACCTGTGCAAATAGGTGTGCCTTGCACTGCATTCTACGGTGGCAAGGCTCAGGTATTCAGGCCCACCTGCTCTCCAGCAGTACTGAGCTCCTTATCCTTTACTGGGCATTTCCTGGCTGACAGAGCCCAGGTTTGCAGCCATGGAGGGTGAAGTGCCCTCAAGGTGGGCCCATATGGGGGGTTACAGATGAGGAAAAGTGGTAGAACCTGGGATTGGCAGCTCACAGCACTGAAGATGACAAGTCAGAAGGAGAAGGGCACTCCACGCTGCACTAAGTGGCAGTCGGAGTCAGCCCCAGATGGAGGGTAGTGTTAACTCAACCCCGAGTGAAAATTAAAATTGTAGTAAAACGTGGACCCCAGTGCAGTGTAAATGATACCATGAACCCAGTGCATCAGTTGCAGGATACTTCACAGTGGGCTACACAGAACAGTCAGAAAATCATCATTTTGGGCGGAAAATACGTAAGATTTCCACACTCCACATAGTGGTGACTGAGGACTCTTAACTTATACCAGGGAACCGTGCAGGAGGGAGAGAGTTTCACTTGTATGCAATGAATATGTTTAACTCATGAGTGACTGCATCAAACGCAGCCACAAGACAGTTACATAAAATCATCCCCAATGAGTGAACCCAAATATTCCCATTCCCGTTCCCCCTCTGTGTATTCACTCCACTAGCACGTCATAGAGAAGATGATTACCATGGATATTAATCTCTGCATTGCACTCTGTTTAATGGGGCTTTATAGTTTTTTCAACAGATTTGTAGGCTGAATCTTTATATAGTCCAGGCAAGTATCTGAACCACTAGTTACCCAAGATTGTTTCTTTACATGTGCATTTATACAGGGACCATTGCTGTGGGAGCTAAGATTTCTTTGACTCACAAGTGGCAGCTTAATCAGTTTTGTGAAATTTGTCTTTGTACCAGATATTCCAGTTTCCAGGGCACCTATCCCCATAGCATTTGAGCCTGATGGGACATATTGCCACAAGACTCTCATATTTTGTGAATTGGAGACCATACCAAAAATGTATCTTTCATAATCTGATTGTGACACGCACAAAAGCTGGGAAAAGCAAAGGGAAGGAACACTCCATTTCTAAAGCGAACTATTATGCTACGTGTTTGTTTAAGCTGGAGTTGTTGAATGGCAGAAGTGTTGCCCTTAATCTTGATTTTTTTTCTGGCTAATATTGGATTTGGTGCTCTTTAAATTTTATTAAAATATAGCTGTGAGGGGGATTAAATTCCTTTGGCCATTATCTGAAAATGGAATGTTAAACCTTTCACGTACACAGAAAACTTCTGAGCATTTTCTTTGAAAAGATGATGCTGAACATACTCAGTAGCAGCTCTTCAAAGTTTATCTTTCTGGTGGCTTATATATCTCTTACATTTAGCTGACTCTCTTTTTGAAGGAATGTCATTCCTGTGCTGCGATCTTCTATGCAGACATTTAGCAATAATCTCTCACATCCACTAAAAACACCCTAACCGTGTGAGCCTAGATGTTCCAATGTGACTTGTGATTGTTGGGTACCTCCATTTTTGCCTACCTAGATTTACTAGGAGGCTTCTTTTTCAGAGTGGGGGTGCTCAGCACTTTCAGAAATTGAGGCTTTTTTAAGATGTTTCAATTGGGCACCAAAAATCTTTGCCCTGGCTTAGAAAGACTTTACTGGGAGCTACTTGTCACTAGCAGGGGAAAGGCCAGTTAGTGACCTGTCTCTTCCCTACAGAAACATTTTTCCTCATATCTCTTTAACATCCAAAGCATGTTTAGCTGTTAGGAACAATCTGGTTTGACCTTAATGGAGTACGAGCTGCTGGTTTTGCCTGAAGCTGACAATATAAAACGGTGTAAGACTAAACCCAATGGGGAGGGAGTGTGAGAAACTTAAATACTGTTAACATATTTTATTTTTAAAGCTTGACCATGATGCATGCTTTATTGTTTAATTTAAAACCAGTTGACTATGTTTCAGTGCTTTAAAGGAGACAATATCAGGAAAATATTACATTTCCAGATGTTGCGGTTCATATATACAGCTTTTTTTTTTTCTTGTCTTTAAAGCTCCTTGGAATCAGCAGGCATTTGTGAGCCATCAGCCACATCGGAAAGGGAAAAAATAAACAATGAGTCGGGTGGGGGTTTCCGAGAGGATAAAGAATTCTCTTTGATACTGGGAGGTTGTGACGAAGTGGGGGGTTTTCGAGAGTCACTCCGGTCTAGAGAACAGGGTTGCATCAACCCCTTCGGGGGTGGAGGCCCCGGGGGTCCAGAGCGAGTGGACTCCCTGAGGGGGCCCACGGCAGAGACAGACGTGCTAAGGCTCAGAGAGGTGCGGATCCAGGAGGTGGAGGGGCCGGACCCCGAGAGAGAGTGGACCCCCGAGAAGGGCTGTCTCACTAAAAGGGGCACCCCCCATGGACCGCACGGGGCCTGACCCCGAGAGAGTGGACCCCCGAGAAGGGCTGTCTCACTAAAAGGGGCACCCCCCACGGACCGCACGGGGCCAAGAGTGGGCACGATCTGTGAGTCCGTGACAGAGGTAGCTCCAAACATCCCTGCAAAGCTAGTTTTGCCATGAATAAGCTGCTAAGTATCATTGTAGGCAGAGCAAACCGTAGCCAAGAGTTCACAAGAAATGCATTTATGCAGCAGTAAGGAGACACGGAGACTGGTGCCTTATGGATAAGTTTCAGTGCAGGGCAGCTATCTGTTGATCTTTCGTGCTAATTTTATTAGCCAAGTCTGGGGTTCCCCACGATTTTGGGAAAGAGAAGAGGGATGAGGTAAGTCACCAGGTAGCCTCAACATGTACTGCAAAAGCAGAACTTGAAAAATGCAGATCTCCCACAGAGCAGATGGAAGGATGGTTTTAAGAGAAGAGCCAGGAACTTGAGGGCCAGGTGCTCCAATATGGTGAAGCTACTTTATGCTGTGGCATTGGTGTAATGTTGCCCTGAAGCCATATTAATGAGACCAGGGAGGGTAGCTCCTATCTAAAGATGATCCACAGAATTGTTGGGCCTCTTTCCACTTCCTGCTCAGCTTCCAAGAGGGTTCAAGCAATCATAGAATCATAGAAGATCAGGATTGGAAGGGACCTCAGGAGATCATCTAGTCCAACCCCCTGCTCAAAGCAGGACCAATTCCCAATGGCGCTATAGTCAGGATACCCCTGCCCTAAATTCATCTAAATTACTGCAGCCCAGTGCTGCTCTGACATGGAGCAGGGGGACCTGCCTACACTGGGCGCAGAGGAGGCAAAGGTGAGCTTTAAGTCACCTTTGCACCCCCCGTGCTCTCCCAAGTTGACACTGAATGTACTGCTCCTTAACATTTTTAATGAAACAAAAGCTTTAATCCGTAACTTAAGTTTGCAGCCACCAAGGAAAAGCACCAACTTGCCAAACAGCCTAGTTAGCCTCCTGTGTAGTTCAAGTGTTATGTTTGTGACTCATGGTTTGCTAAACACACCTTTCTCTTTCAGATCTTTTATGACCTGGTCAGACAAATAAACAGAAAAACACCAGTGGAAAAGAAGAAGCCTAAAAAGAAGTCATGTCTGCTGCTTTAGACCCGCATCACGCAGCAGCTCTGAGCCGGGTAAGAGGCAAGGAAGTAACTGCCTAAGACACAGAGCTCTCTATTTGCCCTCTTATCCCCTGCTGAAATCTAATGGCCTTCCTGTGACTTCTGGTGTTGCTGCAGCTGTTGCGCAGCCTTAGGTGATATAAGGACAATCACAAATTGAAACTCCTGCCTCTCCCATCTCAATGGCAAAGAAATGAAAAGTTGCCCACCAAAAAAATACTAAGGTTGGACATGTGCTATAAATAATCTTCCTGTGTGTCTCGGCAAGATGCAAGGTGCTTCCAAAAACGACTTCATTAGGCAGGAGAGACATCTTCAGAAAACAAGAAAATCTTACATTGTTGTTGATGCAATGCAAAGCGCCTTCTGTCTCAGGACCCCAGAAAAGCAGATGCTCTTGTGTACCATATGGTAGCCCAGCCCAGCTAGAGTAAAAGAGTTAGAGACAGCATTAATTTGACATAGTCAGCTGCTGCTCTGGACTTTCAGTTCCTTAAAGTTGTCTTAAACTTTACTGACAACGTATCTTGCTTTTTTCCCCTAATCTATCAATAGATGCATGTTTTGCAACTCTTCTAATGTTATACAGGTAGAGGTTATCTGGAGAAGCAGTATATCGGTTAGTCCTGCAGCAGCCATGTATTTTTGGGGAGAAACTAACTCCCAAAAGATTTCTAAGATGACTTGTTTAATTTCTGAAGATTGCATGAATCAGTGGTCCTCTGCCCAGCCATTGTGTCCTGGGTCTCTGTACTCTCTATAATTATCATGTACTTAGTTCATGAAATGTAAACATGTGTCTCCTTTAAATAGCTTTCAGATTGTCAGGGTTGGCGCAGTCACCTGACTACCTTGCTGGTTTCTAGTGGTTTGGGGCTTTATGCAATTTACCTTTATCCTTTCCTAGTGATTTGCAGGCTAGACTCTAATGCTTTACAAGTAAAGAGGGGAAAGAAATATGGTTTAAAAAAATCAATATCATGGTACAAATAGTACCAGACACCTCTCCCATTTCCTGCCACCTCAGGCAATGGATTTGAATTTAGCCAGTGTATCATCAGCCAAGCAGACTCCATTCTTAACACAGCCTACTTCCTGACATTTAGAAGAGGTGCCATCTGCTGGTCTGTCAGTACTATGCCATTTGCTGCTGGTCCTTAACTGCAGCAGCTTTGCAGCTAGTATCATTTTCATTGGAACAAATGCAATGCTGTGATAGGGTACGTAGCATAGCAAATGTGTTTCACCTGCAACTTTAGGAGCAAAGTGAGTATACACACAGACTACATGCTGCTGATACTGTAAATTACTGGTAACAATGTAGGTATGCAGTTTTGTTGATGAATCGCTAATAGTTTTGTGTTAATAGAAATGTCTAAGTCTGAGACAGGTATTCAAAATATCAGATTTTTTACTGTGCTTGCCCTTGTTTGTGAGCCTCATCTTAATTAATTTGTTTAATTGATTTGTTACAACCCAAGCTTTCAAGAGCGGCTTTAATGAGGTCACTAACTCATTATCCATTTAAAGAAAATCATAAGGGATATATCTAGTCAGATAGTCATTTTATTAATGAAATAACACCACAGCAACTCCATTTTTTGCATTCCTGATTTCCAACATTAGTGAATGGATACAAACCAGATGAGTTGGTATACTGTAGCCTCAGATGAAATGCAGACCATGTTGCTATGACAATAGTACCCAGGTGTTCCAATCAGGAGAGGGGCTTCATGGCACTGCACTGTGGACACACACAAAATAAAAATCTTGGTCCCAGAGAGTTTACAAACGGTCTCTAAAGAATCCAATTTTTTCTCTTCCTCTACTTCTAAATACATATAGAGAAGTTACAATGGAAACAAATCACAATGCTGAAGTGAAATAACCCCTTTTTGTCAGAATGCTATCCATTGTGGTATACGTTTGTTCTCAGCTTTTCCTTCTATGGCCAATTATTAGCAATGATCTTTTGGCCTTTGTTTAAGTTCTTTCCTCTCTATGATGATTTAAGAAAGACCCTAACTTTTTTTCCCTTTTACGCATCCTAGATTACAGGAATGAAGAACTGTTGCCCAAGTGGAAAGTGCCAGCATTCCAGATGTCAAAAAATGACAAAGTAACAACATATCTGAAGAGGCTTCTCCTGTTTTTATATATTATGTGAAGAATTTAGATCTTATAATGGTTTGCACAAGGTCCCTGGAAAAAGAAATTACTCTGTGTATATCTCTTGGAAATTAAGACAATAGTATTTCTCCTTTGCAATAGCGGTTAACAGATGTGAAAATAAATATAATTGACTCTAGTGTATAATTATACAAAAGAGCATGGATGCATTTCAAATGTTAGATATTGCTACCATAATTAAAATAATTTCATATTGACCTTTTTATCATCATTCTTCCCCATCAAGCACTAAAAATGTTCAACCATTATACTTTATATCTATAATTATATAGATATATACTATATGAATTTTCCCTTTGAGCTCACTGCAGCAAGTAACTTTTTGAGTCATTGACTTCATTTTATATTTAAAAGTTATGGAATATCATTATTTTCATTCTGCCATTATATTCTAATTAAAAATGTTTGTGCATAATGCTTTGGAAAAATGGGTCTTTTATAGGAAAAAACTGGGATAACTGATTTCTATGGCTTTCAAAGCAAAAATATATAATATACTAAACCAACTCTAATATTGCTTTTGTGTTTTACTGTCACAGATTAAATTACAGCTTTTATGAATGATTAAATTTTAGTACATTTTAATTTTGTTTGTGTGTTTTTGTTAGTTTTCAGGTTTGGGTTTTCATGAAGAAATGTTTTGTGAATTCCTTCCTGCTACTGCAGTAGTTAAAGTCTTCTGTTATAATAAACCCCAAGCACACAGTGGCTATGCCAACAACCTGTCTCCACACTCTGGCCCCTGTTGATGTATTAAATCAGATTACACAGTAAAGACCATCAGGCTGCTTTTAAATACTTTGTATATTCATTTGGATATTTAAAGATTGTATTCTGCTGAAAATATCCCTCTGTATAATTATTTTTGTATGTAAAAAATTAGTTTAATACTGTATCAAGGTCTATGATCTTTCAGTCTGACATGATCTTGTATTTCACTGAGGGAATCTTTGTTTTAATATTGTTAATCTGCAGGGCAGGAGCCCAAGAATGAAGTTATGTGCAGCGTCTCAAGTGAATCTGTGGACTGGAGAATTGATTTTGAGTAAATTGTAATTGAGTAAACGTGAAGCTACCACCAGCTATTACTCTTTTTTAGGCAAAACTCACAGTGAATATTAGTATCGAAGAGATTGGTGAACTTGGCCTGATGAGTACAGCGAGCTGAATGAGTTTTACTTAAAACCTCCCAGTTTCACAAAATTCAGGATATTGGGAGTGAAGAGCCCTATATGTGTTTGTCAAACTCACTCTAGTTTGTGTACAAGCAAAAAAATGACAGCCTTCTGTTTTTGATATTGGGCCTGATTTCCCAACTTCAGATCTACACTGCCGAAATTCCATCGACTTTGGTGACTTACTCCTGCTTTACCCCAGAGTAGGTCAGAAGAGAATAAGGTCTGTATCTCCTATCTCTGCTGTTGTGACCGGGGAGTAAATTCAAGCAATACTGTAGCCCTTTTTGTCCAAAAGAACAAGATAGGAAATCCAAAACTGCATTGTAGCTAAAAGATTGTTCAGGGATCGATACGCAATTTTACTGGAAACCAGGAACTTCCTTAAACATGTTTTCAAAAGGTGTGGTGGTGGTGCAGCTGCTGAATTATGCAGAGATTCTAGTTCTAAGTGCAGCTCTGAGAAGACTGAATGAAAGAATTTGGATGAGAATGATACGGCAAATGTGTCTACACTCATCAGTTACTAGGAAAACATTTAGTTGCTTAGCTGCGTCACTTCACTGACTTGAATATGCACTTCTGTCTTTAGAAGGATCAGAAACGTGGTCCCTGGAGGTTAGTCAATATCTTTACTAAATGTAAGATTATTTTTAATAATGATTTTAGTAATAAAGTAACTGCTGATGATGGTTACAGATGTCTGTTGTATAAAAATAGAAATCTAATCTTAACTGTCTAATCAACTGAGCCACTAGGTGGTGCTGTAGTAATACAGCTATCATGGTCCCGAACATTTCATTAAAAAGGGAAATATCTTTTTTTCCTAAACAAACTAGCGCACTCTGTACAACAACCTAGCCAAAGCACCCTGCTCCATGTGAAAGGGTTGGGTGTGGTCAGCATGAGAATGGGAGCCTGCCAAGACAAATCCAGGCGCTGCAGGAAGTGGTGTTATGAACTCGGTGGTGCTTTTCCCTCTCGCTTAGTAAACTTAGGACATCTTTTAGGCCACAGTTTCAAAACATTAACTAATTGGCTGAGCAAGGCAAGGTGTAACACCACACGATGGCATTCTGTCACATGACACGTGGAACATCCCATCCAACCTTCTCATTGGTGCAAATCTGAGTACCCCGAAAGCCTGATGGACAGGAAAAGCATTCGCGCGCACACACCCGGTGCTGCTTGCAGAAGAATGTCTCTACTGGCCCCTGCTGCTGTCCTCGCATATCAGAGGCATCAGCTTAATTTACTGCTTGGGAATATTGTATGTAGCCTGGACTCTAACAAAAATACGGGGACAATTTGGAGGGGGTGGGGGAGTAAAGCAGCAGGGACCAGAGGGATGCAATAGTAGGGGAACCAGGGATGTGCAGAGCGACTGGGGATGAGTTTGGGAGGGGGGTTGGAGGGACCTGGAATGGAAAATGGAAGACATACAGAGCTCCAGGCATGGGGGAGAATGGGTGACAGAGGAATGCAGGGAGTCCCTGTAAGTGCAATGCACTCTACAGAAGCTACAAAATGTGTGAACTGCTAGTTAAACCTCACAACTCCCCTGTGTGTAGCCGGCAATGGATCACCTAACACTGAAATGCAGTAACTTCAGAGGTGGAGAAGTAGGACATGAAGCACAGTGAGGGATATGGATATACACAAAACCCATGACC